TTGGCCAAAAATTAGTCATTTTTTTCATTTTGAAAAAGATGGGAAATGTTTAGAAATTCCAAATGAAAATGAGTTGTAAATTGAATGAGAATATTTTATATTCGTATGTGATTTTAAAAGGTTTATCTAATAGATCTAGATTTTCCACTATAATCTCCTCCCTTTGAAACAAAACTTCATGAAATTGAATACACTGTAAGCCAGATACTGGCCATAAACTTGTGTGGAGTTGAGCAAGAATCTACTACTGTAATCATCAGTTCTTTTTGTTTATCCCGAAAGAGAACTGATTTCAGTGGTATGTTGTTCTTGAAACCCCTACACACAAGTGTCAATATAATATTGTCGATGTGTTGACCTATACCTATTTATGATCTTTGCCATGCGATATACCTACGAGATACTATACTAGTAACAACCGAAAAGGAAGCCATATGATGGCAGCCCCCCTCCATCTATTTTACAAGGCCTTGAAGAGGATATTGAACAAAATGCAAAAAAGCAACTGGGAATGAGTAAGATTAACGTTTAACCAGTCTTGTGTTGTTATGGAGATATTGTCATGGTAATGGCCGTTGGAAGTTCCTGTGGAAGCTATCCTTATGGTAACCATCTTTGTGTTGYCATGGYTATTGTTGCTAAACCTAATTATGTGTTGCTAGGTAAATATTGGCATTGTCATGACAACAATGATATACTTTAACTGTAACAATATACAATATTTATGGTAGTTTGTACTGGCATTGTCATGACAACAATGATATACTTGAACTGTAACATATAGAATATTTATGGTAGATGGGACACTGGTGAAAAATGCACTGCGCATGCCCACAGCTTTCCCGCCAGTGGGCGCTCGCGTCTTGAAATCTGTAAACAGAGCGCCTGGCGATTTACAGCGACAACACAGAAAACACTACGAAAAACCTCATTTTCTCAAAATAGAAATGACAAGATAAAAATAGAAACTACATACTAAAAGAACCTATCATGAACAATGATTGATGGAAATATGAATCTTATATATCGGTGAACGAGCTTATAAATWGTAAAAAACTTTCACAAAAATCGCTTTACAAAGGAAATTAGGCAGRTTTCAGCGGGAAAGCTGTGGACATGCGCAGTGCGTTTTTCACCAATGTCGGTAGATAGTACTATGTATATAAGTGCATGCATTATGGGTAAAAACAGCCATATTATCATATTATCGGTAAATATTCATCTCCGTTAATATCAAAAGACTTATATTGACAGCTATGCTGGTGGTATGAACAATAAGTACTAACAAAAACTCTCTAATGAAGAACCATCAACAGAAACATTTTCTGAAATACAAGTGCATTGTGGTCTAACTTCAGTTGATCCAACACCATGTTTGGCTACAYGAGCATAAGATATTTTTAGCAAATCAGTATACCAGATATATACCAGATACCAGATATCAGAATGTTGCTGGAGCTACCATATGATGYTAATGTATTCCAAACACAACCCATCGCAATAGTTATTTACCCATCATGCATGCTGATATAAGTTAACTTAGTCTACCCATCATGCATGGCTGTACGTCATACTAATATATATATAATATATATGTCAATATACAACAATATAGAAATAACTATAAAACTATATCTCTCCTCGGATAACTGATTCTGCGACTGGTAAAGCAGGTCGTTCTACTGGTTCTGGCGTATATGTGAACGTTAGTCCTGTAGGATATATAACACCATCACATCTCACGAGACTGACAGCAACTTCAGTAGGTTGACGTACAAATCTCCAGCCTCCACGAATGGCAGATATGTCTGGAACTACACATAGTAGACTCTCGCCACATCTGATAATTGAAGTCATAGTTTTAGTTCAATAATAAAAATGATGATAAAATGTGATTTTATCATTATGACATTGACAATGATGAAAAATTGTTATGTTAACAATGATGGTGATGACAATATTGATGCTGATAACAATTGGTTGATAATGATAATGATAACAATGATTGATGATGATGATAATGATGAATTATGATTACGATGACAATGGATATCTCACCTGTACATAGTCTCAGCTTCAACATCCCCAAACCAAACTTTCAGATTTGCAGTAAAATTTTCCCCTGTTAATTCCAACATTGCAACATCTCCCCCACCATTGAGCTGAAAAAAAAAAACATTACTCTTTACTAGAAAATTAAGAAACCTGGGTGTAATTGAATAGATCTACCAATATTTGAATGGCTTAACTGACATTTGAATGGCTTCACCAACATTCGAATGGCTTCAACAACATTCGAATGGCTTGACCARCATTAGAATGGCTTTACCAACATTTGAATGGCTTTACCAACATTAGAATGTCTTTACCAACATTAGAATGTCTTTACCAACATTTGAATGGCTTAACAAAAATATCTTCTTCTTTGTTATTCTCAAGGTAACAAGGAACTGATTGATTGAGTGATTAATTGATTGATTGTTTTATCAAAATTTAAATTTCTTAAAAAAGATCTCAATGTCTTTACCTGTAGGTGGTTTACGATAGGAACAGGTGTTACTGGTGAACGAACTGGTCCCATTCCTTCATAGAAACTACACTCTGCCTTATCTAAAAAAATATCACATAGTATCACTACATAATCATCATCAACATTATCATCATCACAATCATCATGTTCATAGTAACAGTACCTGTGCTTATTATTGTCCAGGAAGCACCATCATTTATCATATCTTTGTTGGCCTCTTTGGGACATGGTGTTGCCTGCAGCAAACAATGAAGAAAAAAATGTTTTAGACCAGCATCTTTATGAATTACCTGGAATTATTTATACCAAGCATATTCCAGTTATTACCTGGAATTGAATTATTCTTTCCTGTGACAAACATAAATACATTCGTTCAGTGTCTTTCATGTAGAATGCAACTTTGTGAAGCTGTGAAACAGGGTCATCTGCATCTAGTAGTGCTGTTTGCTTGTCAACTTTTCGTAAAACCTGAAAAAGAAATCACATTGACTGACAACCTATCAATCACATGATAGCCTTCCTTCTTTCCTTCCTCCTTGCTTCCATTCTTTCTTCTTTCTTTTTTATTCTACAAAAGTAGTTCAAGCACATGTCTAAAAGTAATGACATTCAACTAACCAGTCTTGGTAAAGCCATTCCAGTTACTGAGCAAACTAGTTTAACTGTTGAACCATAATGTATGTAGCCCTCTCGAACTGTAAACTCTTCACTTTCACTTTCTTCATCATCCACTTAAAAACAGAATATGATTTTATTAGAAAGCTTTACCTGCCTTAAACAATCAATAACTTGCCATTTCATAAACTATTTCATTTGTTCATTTGTTCATTCTGTATTTTCTCATTCATTCATTCATCTATCCATCCATCTGTCTGTCCATTAATCCACCCATATGTCTGTCCGTCTACAAGATGTACTTACATAAATGAATAGTGAATGCTCCCCATTGTTGGCTGCTAGCATGAAAGTTTCCATTTTCAACATGAAGATACCTTGTGCTGACTGTTTGTGATCTGAGTCTGTTGAATAACGCAACTGTTGATCCAGACTGGATACATACTGAAATCAACAACATTAAAAAAAACATTAACTTGAATTAACTCTGAATTATAAAATCTATCAATCATGGCAAAATCATCACAATCAGAGACTATAAATATTACTTTAGCACAGGTACTCTTGTATATATCATGCTATAAATATTACTTTAATTGTATATACTCTTGTATATTTTATCACTCCTGACTACTCACAATCAGCATTTTTTAAAGACTGTTTTTTCTTGGAAGGTTTTGATATGACCTGCAAGGTAAAATAACAATAATATTCAATAATAGTTCATTACAATTATTATTAGTTGGTGATAATAATTGATAACAACTGACTGATTGATTGATTGATTAATTGATAGATTGATATGATTGCTTCATTCATTGATGATTGATTGATTGACCGATTAATTGATTGATTAATTCATTGATTGATTCATTGATTGATGATTGATTGATTGATTGATTGAATCATTGATTGATTGTGTAATACCTTAATTCGTTTAGAGTTGAAAATACCAACATGATCTCCATTAGGGTAGAGAAGCTATAAGACACAAAATATTCAGAATGTTAACACCTTAAAATAAATAAATCATATAAATGTTCTTAAGTTGAATTACTTCCTAATATCAGTAAAATACTGCTAGACACAAGGAAAGGATATCAGCCCATGTCAACAAGGGTTGTTAATTACAGTAATTAAAATTCAATCAGGTTCAAGGTGAAGTTTCTTATCAATGTAATATTGCTCTAATAACAAACACTGCTGTACCTTGACTGATAATTCAAAGTGTTTTCGTTTATCTGAGTCTGATATGAAGAGTGTTTTTGCAGCACCATAGCCCTAAGGATGACAACAAATTGTTACAATATAATATGATATAGATATTAATGATTTGTCCTCATTAGATGACTGTGAAGAAGGGATAATGAGCTGTTTAAAGCATCACAAGTTTATCATTTGTATATCAGAACAGAGCCACACAAAAAATTCATCTCAAATCGTTAAATAGTGCTCATTTTTGGAAGCTCTTTTTAGGGTAAAAATCTTTGGAGTTTTATAAAATTTGCTCATAATCATGATAATGATTTTTCATGTGTACAATTCCTTGCCTTTTCTTCTATAAGGAGTTGTTGCATTTCTTGTTCATTGTTGTTTCCAATACCAATGAATGCAATCGGCTGCTTCTTCCCATCATCCTCCCCTGCTTGCTGTAAAAGTCGTTGTCTGTTCCGCCAGCCTTTACCAAACAGGTACACACAGGGTGGGGGACAGAAAAACCTTGAATCACAAAGAAATGGATGGATTATTGGATGAGTGAAAAAATGAATAAATAAAAGAATGGATGGATGAGTGATTTAAYAAATAAATAAAAAACAAATTGGATTCATGGAGGGATGAAAACCTATGCCAAAAGCTTTAGTAATGCATAATAATAATAAAAACCACAACTCCAGTTGTATTCTTTTCAAGTGAGTTTTTTTCTATTGTGCTTTCTTTGCARTGCAGACACAATTGACAGTGAAAAACAGCTCCAGTCATTAGCATGTCCGGATAACACACGCAGTGATGTAGTTATTTAAATGTCAAATATTTTAAACAAATATTGTTGGAATGAATACCATTCAAACACTGGTAAACCATTTCAATGCTAATAAATCCAGGCGAACAAAACCAACATTATTCTATCTGTTAATCCAAACTCTACAATCTCAACATAGAATTTCTCTTATCTTTAAGTAATAATTCATGATGTACTCATCAAAGAATATAGAATAAATAGAGGAAAACTGCTTTTAATTTCTAAAGAAATAAAATMAAACCCAATAAAGTGCAGAGAAACCATTTCAATGTAAGTCATCATAAGCAAATAAAGACAACACTAAGCCATTTAGATGTATTCAAATCTTTCAGGAAGTCATTAACCAATATAAACAATTCCTTTAGACTTCAAAAAACAGGATATGATGTCATCATCACCATGGCAATAGAAGGGAATGTCCAGGAAACCATTTAAGTGGCCAGAAAGCCAATATATTGTTGTTATCAGATTTTYTGTGGCCAAAAAACCATCAATAACTTKTTTTGTGTTTAAGAACGTCATTTGAGTGTTGATACCTTTTTTCATTTCCATAAGACTTCTGTGCGACCTTGGCATGGAATATAACAACTGTCTGGTGACCATTGCGTTTGACAACATCATTGAGATACCGGTCCATTGCAGTCTTGGTTAGTTTAGCTGGGACATAAGGACAGAGTGGAAACCTACAATTGATTAAACAAATTGCTTACTACATGTGCAGTTAACTATGAAAATTATTGTGATATCTATGATGATAATGACGATGGCTACATGTTGATAATAACGATGATAACAATGATGACAATACCATTAAATAACAGTACCTTGAAGGGTTATTATTGTGATATCTATGATGATAATGACGATGGCTACATGTTAGCAATGGAATTGATGATGATGATGATGATAACAATGATGACAATATCATTGACTAACAGTACCTTGAAGGGTTTTCCTTGTGAAGTCTATCGTCATCATCAGGTGTTGGTGATGGTGTTGTTGGTGGACTAGGTTGACCTGCCGTCATGTTAATAGGTGGCATTGATCTGGGTTCCGGGCCTGACATCGTTGGGTGCCCATGTTTGGGTGTGTACCCCCCTACTCTGTGGTAGGGTCCCCTATCTGTAAAAACATGTGAAATTAGAAATGAAAAGAACATGCGCAGCTCCGCTAATAAACATCTATTAACAGGGAAGGTCTGGGTAGAGTATTAAACTCATGCAACCACAGAAACATAAATAGAGCAGAATATATTCCTTTGTTTCCTAATACTTAATGTAAGAGCATGCATTCTAGTCACAGAATGTATAGTTTTATAAACTTATGACCTAACCCTCCCATGAACAGTATCATAAATATCACAGGAAAGGGGAGAGTTGTAGGGTTTTGAATAAAGGTTTCATATTTTTATTTGATTATGAATACCACCACCTGTAGGTGTTATTTGAGTTTCTTATGATCAAAACAAGAAATTATTCATTAATTCTGTCTATTGATCAGCTAAGAATGYATATATTACAATGAAGGGAATGTGTAAATATTGCGCTTACCSTAAGACAGTAATATATTATTAACATATTATATATAGTATTACTATCATAGGTTATTTTATAAGTTTTCTTATAATTATAATCAAGTCGCTTTACAGCACCGACAAAGGTTAATTTATTAACTTGAGAGGGGGCAAGTTTTACAACAAAAGTTTGTGAACTACTTAAGCATTTAGTTTGTCAACATTAATAGTGTTCTAAGAACTGACAATCATCTGTTGTGACTGAATCGTAGAATGCTATGATTTAGTTCATCTAAACATCAACCTCTGTAACTGAATTCATTCATATGGTGGTTGTAAAGAAATATTGAACACAATATACAAAATTAGCATATACTGTATAACAAAAGGTTTATGATATTGTTGAGTTACTAGTGACCTTGACACAAACARCATTGATGTCATTTATGACTTACATGTACATGAAATACCATGCATTACATAATTATTATAACAGAGCAAAAATAATCATAGCAAGCCCGCAAACACTCCTGACAGCTATTAGATTTATTATTATTTCATACTCAACACACAAATCTACCATCTTTTTATATTTTCTCTGGCAGTTTTGACATATTTTATAATCTACAGGTAATTCGGATACTAAGTTCTCATTGTGTAGTCTGTGTATAGACTCAGCCAGAAAAAAAAAATATTTGTATTTGTTAGATTAATACACAGATGGACAAAGTAAAATATCCCATTTTTTGTTGAGTATTGCTAACAGAAAAAGCAAGGAAAGTATGCACATTTCACTTTAATAAATTCGCTGTGTTTAATTCAACGGAAGAGGAAAACAGTGCATCTATAATATATCAAATGACATTATTTCGTCTGTCAACTGTTTTTTAGTTAACATATCGTTATTAATAATAGATACTACCAATTAAGTTTATATTCAAAGCTCCTGAAATCAAAACTTGACCTTTCACGTAATCGAAAATCGAATTTTGAAGCAAGAACAAAGGCCCCATAATAAAAAACACGAACAAGACCTTTACTCTGACCCAAATCACAATAAATAAACTCAAAATAAAAACTTTTCRCTATTGMTCTTGTTTTTCTTGTAATATCACGCCGGTATTAATATATGGATGGAAGATTTCAAGAGATTTTGAAGACGAAAGAGAAGAGAAATCTTTTAAATGTTAACAGTTTGAGCAGTTTATGTTAATTACTGAAATGTATTAAGCAAAAGTCAGGAATTTTACCGGGCTATAACAACAATATTGTTAAAATAGGCTCCTCAAAATAACTAGYGATAATAAAATGAAAATTGAAGGTATTATGTTTTTACATTTTGGAACGATTGAAGTAATTTTAACAACGCAATAACAGTTTCTTAATTAGCGCGTGTTAGGTTTGAGAGATCGTGTATTTCAAGGCGCGCGATCAATTTAACAAAAACTTCAAACTATACACTCGAACTTTTGCCTCCGAAACTCTCTTCGCGGGTTTACAAAACCGAGCCATTTTATGACATTTAAGAGTTTAAAGTTCTATTAGAGCGTGGATGCCTCTAATGGTTTAAAGTGCCTTGAAACGGCGTGAGAAAAAAACAGCCCAAGTTCCCACACTTAATTTGGATGTTTATGTGACCATTTACATTCATAACGTATCAAACACACTACATGTTTCACATTTTATTGGCCAAAATCTCAACAAAACTTTACTATTTTATTGTGAAATTCAAAATTAAAGGTTTGAAGGTTTAATTGATGATTTTGGTGGGCTAAAAATGCCGAAAATTTCGTACAAAAGCGAGGGACTTTCAAAGATCAAACATGGTGTTGAATTACAAAGCTCCACGCAATGGATTCAATAAATTGTACTTACGATCACAAGGCTCCCCCGTTACATTCTGGAATGATCCTGGTAGATTTGTACCGATATGAGGATGATATATAGGAGAATCTAAAGAACCGTTTGCTTGAGATGACGCTAGATCGTTACTGTAGCTCGAATCAAGATGAAAACGTTTGAAACTATGCCGAGGTAGAGGAGAACTCAACGCCGTCCGCCGCATTGATTCCAAGTTATAACCTGCAAATCCACAAAAATCCTTGTCCTCTTGTGCCTAAAATCGAAATCAAATCCAACAGATTGCTTTACTTTGTAGATTTGTGTTTAAACCAAGCATGATAATTGAGAGATCTAAACTAGTTGTAGGAATTCCAGCCAGTATACTAAGTAGTGGTGTCTCGCTTGCTTACCAATTTAGTAATTAGAGATAAACGTCTGTATTCCAAAGAACAGAGGCCATTGAAATTGAAAACGTGCTCCTAGCAGCAACAGCTAACAATTCAAACGAAAATACCTTGTCCGTAAATTCTAATTTAGTGCTCGACTTGAAAAGCGAGTTGAACACTTAACACTGCAAAGGATTGTCGTCCGATTCCAAGTGAAATCAAGCCCGTCCGACCAATGAAGTTGAACAATGCAATGATTTCAGAGGCAAAGACTCTAAGGCCCTTATGATCGTGGGAAGATTTCTTGCAATCTGAGGTCCGTGAGAACACTAGGCCAGTCCATATAAGGCAGTTATTTACAAATAGCTACTGTAAAACAATAGCTACACGCGACCGACTGACTACTCATTAATATTCATGAGACAGGCAACATGTGTCTCATGAAAGGGAAGGTGTTAGACTTATTTTCATTGGTTATTCGACAAAGGAACAGGCCTAATCGTTCTGTATCACTCAGCTGTTTTCCATCTAAATAATCACACGGGAATCCAGATAGAATACGAATCAATTTTTAGTACAAATCGGCCATCATCTAGACATATCAGTAAGAAATACGTGCAAATCGTATCTGATCATTAAAGTGGTACTAAAACGATTTAATTCTGCGAAATATTGGGATCAGTAAGGGCATTAAAAATAATTAAAAGCTGTTGGATTTGCTATCAAAAGCTTAAAATGCGATAAAAWGAGTATTATTGAATTTTTTCTGTTGTTTTGGAGAAAGCTCATGAGTGTGTAAGTGCGATTGTTACGCTAATTTGGAATTATTAGTATAAAACTATCTTTTATAATCCATTTATTTCTAAAATACATGAAATGAGTTTTTCGATTAAATATATTGAGTTTTTATATGGGATTGTTAGAAAACTTGAACYTTTAAAGAACATTTAGTGTGATGTTGAAAACAAGGGCTGACATGTGTTATTTGAAGTAAAATGTCAACAATACAATACATATTACACACTACCTTTAACCACAATATTCTAAACCATACATCACATACAAAAGACATTTAAACGCACCAAACAATTAATGTCATTTTCATTATTCCAGTTGTCTAAATTTCCCGTTGTTGAACTATCTTTTTTCGGAATCRTCGTGGCATAAGTTTTCARCCCCCCAGGGGTTAGCTATATGGCGGGTAAGACGATATCAATGTCGATAGTATCTTGAACGATATATAGATGAAAGGGGAAAGCACATTGGAAATGCATCTAGAGAATATCAATGACAGTCAATGGCGATGGCGCGATATGCCGATATTTTACTTCCATCCAAACATTCTAAATCATTCCTTTTTCCGTTATCAAAAATTTATATTTTTTCCTGCGAAGAGCAAAGATTACTTTAAAGTAAACGGAAAAAGTAACATTCTCCATCCTCATCCGATTTTCGGCACCTTGTCGGGTAACTTCGCTCAAAAGGTCAACTTTTCACAAAAAACGTTGATTTTCTGAAAGGTGACTATGTGGGTGTGGCCTAGCTTGTTATTCGCTTTCGAAGAAATGCTCAAAATATTACTTAATGAAGTATTATTTTAATCCTAACACAATTATTACAAATTATCGAACGATTCAGTCACCTTAAAAGTTGCTTTCTTATCGCTTGATAAACGTCCAATGCGTACCGGGAAGGTAATCTTTCAGCATTGAAAATGTACTGACAATTTTACTAATTTAAACTTTTTTGGATTTACAGTAAAGTGAGAGTAACTTAGTTAGAATTACGGCTGCTAAATCATATATTTAAGAACGCTTTTTTTACCCTGCGTGAACCCCGCTGTATAAAATCGACGTCCTTATATTCTGGGTTTTATAACTTTTATAAAATTTAATTGATTTACAATATTAGAACTTTTGTTGGATTTTAACGTATTTATATTTTTCATGAATTTTTACGGTTATAARGAGAAAGTTTAGGTTTCGAAAAGTTTGTCAAAGTTGGATTGCAAACCAAGTCACTTACTTCTAGCAGTCTTTGCGGCAGTCTTGGGTCGTTGTTTACGTTTCTTTGGYCTATCCATAGTTAACTTGTCCACTGTAAAACTGTGGTATCAATACAGACCAGAAACTCTCCATAACCTAGTCGACACAAAGAAATCAAGTCACACCTTATTGTCGGCCATCTTGGTTGCAAATCATACAGGTAGCCCAGAAATTGAAAATTGCAAGTAACCATTAACCATTGATAAGGATTAGGTTCGATTAGGTTCAAAGGCAAGTGCAGATTTTATTTTGTCATTMAGAGTCATAAAATGGTTCCTAGAATTTCTAGACAGAAACAAATTAATCCACCRACATATTTTGCGATGCATATAAGCTGTGGAGTCGGAGCGACGTCGGTTGTCATTCGCTTTAACTTCGTGAATTACCGACTGATAGATAGAGATAGATAGATCATCGATAGATCATCTTTTCAGTGAAGTTGAACTACATAAAATGGCAATAACTTCCACGAACTAATATCGATTTACCYTATATGACGTCAYAGTACYTTGCACGATGACGTCATGTCGATTAGTTTTACTGACAAAGAGASTAATGTCATTATGAGGGTTTGTAATACTTTTCTTTATCTGYAGATAACCTAGACTGACCCTGTTATCAATTAATGAGGATATTGAACCGTGATTTAAACCAGAAATATGCTGTGAGACCGTTTCATCAAGTCACGTCCGAAAGAGCTATTGCCTGGGATCGTAGTGAGGTGTGAAGTGTTTTCAACTGTGATCCCAACCAATAGCTATTAAAAACTGATCCTTTAACCGCACAATGATTGATCCTCGTCAAAAAATGCGATCCACTTTAATGATCCCGATTTCCATGAGAGTGATCGCCTCAATCCCTGGGCTAACTCTGATCTCTGGGCTGAAACAAAGCTCTTTGCGTCTGATCCCTGACCCGATACAACACTAAAATTACACCCATCATGGATTACTGCTCTGATTGTTACTGTACGTTGACATACATGAAAAAAATGTTAAAATGGCGGTGTATTTAGATTCATATAAAGTCTGCAGCAAAAGAACCGTACTTTGCTAAGCATTCTAACGCCTGAAACACGTTATAGCGTACATTTACCATTGACCCCCCTTCCCCCTCCCCCCGAATGACGCAAAAATGTACGTTTTGAAATCTCCATTTCCAACGTCATTCAATGGTAGCATTTCTCTCTCGTTTTAGTTTGAGAATATTTTAAGGTCGAAAAGTGCTTCAGAGCGAAGGCTGAAGTCATCGTGAGTTGGAATTGTCGTTGGTAATTGATTGACACATGGTCAGCGCTAAGATAGCACGACATTACTATATGTTTCTCCGTTTCTAATTCCTCATGACGATGATCAAGGCTTTCAAGGCCTAGTTTAACAAAAAACTTGAAAAACAAAACAAAAATATATAGATATCAACGAGAAATACGTGTTTTGGGTATTTGACACATGAATTGAGAAGGTACTTTTTTAAGAGGAGTAGAAGTAATTTGACCTTGACCACTTAGACAATGTTTGACAAAACTTTTGAAAAGTAGTTTACTTTATTTCTCAAAGCAAATGGGATTATTAGAGATTGTTTGTAATAAAAAGAACGCTTGTGTTAAAACCAAACTTGTGCTGTTATGAATTCAAATTCTGAAGGTTATTCTTCAACTTAATATCAGGGTTATTCCAAGCAATTGTTCATAATAATTGTTCTTTTGTTCCGGTATTGTACATATTTTTGACGATGTCAGTCCACTCACCAAAAATACGTTTACTATGAAGCTATAAGATCAGTGAAGTCATTAGCAATGAGCGTTGGATCCAATTTGATTATCTCTGTCAATTTAGAAGACCTTTGCTCGCGCCTCATTTTCCTAATCTAAACGCAGCTAAACCTCCTGAACCAAAAGGATTAATACTAAACTGCGCTTCGAGAATATACGCTTTTTATAAGTGCACAAAGAACCAGGGTAAGTTCTTCTAAACAGGATAAGGATGTGGTTTAGTTGTATTTGGAACTGACGACGTRCTCAATCATAGTCACTKACAAATCTTACAGTTCATTCCAGATCAATACATGTACGATATGACTTACCTTCAGTGAGTTCTCAGTGCTTTACTGTCTATAACGATGAAGCTTATAAGGTAAACACTTTTGATCAGACCTAGCTGCTCGGTACAAGTGGCGAAGAAACAACTCAAAGTGCGAATAGATGGATTTAGTTGTGTTTGCTGAAGCAAAGTGTCTCGGTTCAATGGTAATAGGAACCCAAGGGCCGTGGGAATCTTACTGACAGCCTCGTTACACTTCAACGAACCAGTGAACAATGCGTCATATCACGCCATCCTATGACAAACTCTGTTTTCTTAGCCATGGGACATAAAAACAGCAGATTTACCCAAGTCCAGTGTGCAATTACACTATACAAACGCACGTCAAATTATATCTATTTTTTTCTTTTATATCATATTTATTTACAATTCTTATCTTTTACGGTTATTTTGTAAAGGTTTATTGTCAAACCTTTGATATTATACCAAACTATTGCTGCATTTTCATGTGGATGGTTTATGTGCCAGCCAGTTAGTGATTTGGTAAGCTGTCAGTTGTAAGTGGTTGACCAGAGTGTCAGCAGGTAGTTGCCAGTATGTGGCTAGTTTGATGCCCGTTAGTGTTTGGTATGGTACCAGCAAGTGGTTCATACGGTGTTACAAGGAGTTGGTAAGGTGCGTATAAGTGGTTGGTTAGGTATCTGAAACTAGTGTAAGGTGTCAGTAAGTAGTTTGTAAGGTGTCAGTAAGTGGTTGGTAAGGTGCGTGTAAGTGTTCAGTAAGGTGCCAGTAAATGATTGATATGATTCCAGGAAGTGGTTTGTGAGGTGTCAGTAAGTGGTTGGTAAGGTGTCAGTAAGTGGTTGGTAAGGTGTCAGTAAGTGGTTGGTGAGGTGTCAGTAAGTGGTTGGTAAGGTGTCAGTAAGTGGTTGGTAAGGTGCCAGTAAGGTGTCAGTAAGTGGTTGATATGATTCCAGGAAGCGGTTTGTAAGGTGTCAGTAGTGGTTAGTAAGGGGCCAGTAAGTGGTTGGTATGATGCCAGTAAGTGTCAAGGTGCCAGTAAGGTGTCATTAACTGGTTCCAGTAAGTATGTAAGGTGCCATTGTAATAGTACCGATATTTTTGGTTTTTAACATCTTTTTAGAATTGTTTTTTCAATTTCATATCTTCATCTCCACAGGGTATGCCACTTGTACAATGTTTGTCGAGGTCGTGTCGTTACTTCAACAAGATGGCTGTCCATAAACGCATCGTCGTCCCGAACAAGAAGTCCATGCAGCACCACGGAACCAATGACATGGCAGTGTTTAAGAAAACGTTGTTGGTTACTGTGTTTTGCTGTAATGACAACCGACAGTCCTCGCAGGTTGAGTTCGTTTAGGTTAAAGGCATAGCTCTCGTAGTATAATACTTCAGAATAACCGTTTTTTATCGCCGTGGAATAGGTATCGATCACGTGATCACCTTCTACTAAAGAAATCGTGATAAATGAAGCTGAAATGAAACAATACAACTAGTTAGTTATGATGGTATCTTGAGATCAAGGGTTCGAATCCTTTTAATCTAAAAAAGACCACGAGGAATCCAGACGTCAAAGCGCTAAAATCGAGTAGCAAGGATTTACGTGCGGCAAGAGATTTCGCGCCCCCACCATGCTATCTTTTACTCCTCTTGAGCAAGCGTCTCTYTTCCTTTCCGTTCTATTTCCTACTCTTGGACTTCCTGTCCCGATATAACCGAGGAAGTGTGCGGATGGGCAGGAAACATAACAGAGAGAATAATTTCTTGACGGGGTCCATAAGTCTTCTGCTTGGCTAGGATGATACTAGAAGGATCCCAAAATATCAAAAATGAAGTGATTCCTGTGGATGAGTCTAGCTATGGTGAATAACACTTTCACTGTCAAAGAGGGAGAGAACGCAAGGTCCCTAAGCCATGAACGCGCGCACCAAAACTGAAAAACTGAYAAAGTAATATGTAAGGAATTTCTAACCTGAGCAATTAATGCCACACATGTCTTTCCTTCCATCTTGTTTACAGCTCAGGTTTTTGGCTTTGATTATTGCCACCTTCAGCCTACGAGTGATTGAGTCATGTGACATGCCGATGTACACTCGACCAGTTGGGAACCCTGTCTTYTTAGCCTAGAAACGATAATATCACATATTATTAATACTGATTATTAATGATTAATATATTATTCAACTAGTGGAAAACTAGTTGGAAATATGTCRTTGCTGTCTAAAAATCAGTCAGTTGTAATATGGCTGCTGGCAGAGTCTTCTGTAGTCCAAAGACTAGTATATACGCCGTGCTCTAATAAGTTTGAATTCGCGCTTTCTATCAGARASTTATCACAAGGCCAGTAMTCATTCCCAGCATGGAGCGCAGACCATTTTAGGACCACCGCAGAAGGAACTCTAGCCTAAACAATCATTAAATTCGATAAACGTATTTCCTACCACGCGCTTACGTATTCTTCGCATTTCCTTTTTCCGTAATCGATAATGTAAGATAGTGAGTGTTATTTAAAGTGCGATTATCACTGATGACGTGTGTATTTATATCGCGTGGTGTGTTAGAGTGTTATATATCAGGTAATGTGTTATATATCAGGTAATAACAACAAGGAATGGGTTTAACTTTGCGTTCTTTTTATTTACAGTTGCTTTTCGTGAAAGTATCCGGGAGGGGTACTGGTGTGTCTGTTTTATCCTACGATGACTATATATCTATATTTTATACTTCTTGTGCGTAAAGTAACTCTCCCCTTTTTTTTCAGCCATGTCAGTCTTCGCCACTTCCTCAGGAAAATTCTCAATCCCGGCGTCTTTGTTTCCATGGTGATAAATTTATAAATATCATCGACGCATCCCACGCTAATCTAAATGTCACTAAGTCAAATGGAATAATTATTTGATATTCATGTTTTTACTTGGATAGAACTCAGGAAATGATTGAAGATTTCTTAATTTTTTTTCATTCTAATTAAAAGTACCGTCGTGAAATGTCTTCAACGTCGTTAATTTATCAGTTATGTCAGTTAACACAAGTCGAACATTAATATCAGTTAAAACATTCTTATGAAATGAAGTGTAAATTGAAAAATGAAAACAACGAGGGGGATATAAAAGCTCAGTAAATAGCTTTCTGTGCGGCTTGATATGCACTGCCACAAAAGACAAAGAGCGCGAATAACAGGCATAATAAAGCGCGGGAATCATAAAGAAATATATAAGGATGATAAAAACGATCAACCTCTGGTTTTATCCGGTACTAATGGCCATTAATAATCACCTTGTCACAATCCATTCTTTGTGTCTCCTCGCTTCCCTCCATCTCTTCAATTTGCTTTGTTTTTATAACATTGTTGTTATTAACTGTGCTCTCTTCAAGGAATATTTCTTCCTTCATGGATTTCTTCGATGATTTTCTTACTGAGCCTCTGTTCATTCTATAATCACTGTTCACTAATAAAACACTTCTCTTAAGGACGTTATTTTGCTCTTTTTCAGTTTCTGTTTTGTAGTCAGGCTGTACATGTTTGAGTTCAGTCCCTGGTAAGCATGATGAAGGATAACGCCAGTGAATTGTCTTTGAATATTCCATCCATTCTTTCATTTCATCAACATCTTCTTCGGAAAACAAGATAGAGTTTGAACAATCCTTACAGTTCTGGTTTCCCATTCGTCTAATCCACTTTAACGTGTTTCTTGAGTTTAAAGTGTAGAAATCAAAACGGGAGGCGATTTTAGTTTAGTTGTYGAAAAAAGCGACTTCACAGCCCTGCAACAAACCAACACTTTGAGTTTAGAGACTAATGTGACGTCACACCGGAACTGGTAAATCTAAGTTGACTTTTCATATATCTGCCATAGATTATATAAGTTGATTGGTTATACAACACCTTTCAGACTACATTACGAGAAGCAATGTTAAAATCGATTTTCAAGTTTTTTATCATAAATGGTTACCCTGGGGGATATATCTTGGATATTGAGAACGCTATTATAAAGCAATCAAAGAAGTCATATGCGGCAATTTAATGTAAAAACAGCGGTAGCTCATTTATTAGAGACAAAAATATCAATGTCGAAAGTCGAATTACATGATGAGAAGACAAAGAATAAAAGAATTAAAAGATCAAAGGAAAAAGAGAAATGAAAAGAAAAAGAAACTAGATGGATGAAAATTAAATGGAATGAAACAGAGAAAAAACTGAGAAAGAGTGTAAAACATAGAATTGAAGAAAGAAAAATGAGAAGGATRAAAAATAAAGAAATATAGACGAAAACATATTCCATTAGCCTCCAGCTTATTAGTTTTATACGACACTCAGACCTTTCTTATCATCTTGTGGGAATATTTCCYACAACTATTAACAATGTTAACTCCATGGCTTCCATCACGAGACAAATGGATAAGTATCCTTTTCAATTCATGACAGTAATTGAACATTACAGGATCTTTGCATCTGATGTCCAGCTAGAGACATRTCGGATTACGTATGCTAAAAATCATCAAAACCGTTTCTACTTTACAWGGCCTTCAGGCTATCAGGATTTCCATTAACTGTAAMAAGGATTAATGTTAAATACGGAAAGTCTTTTTTGACTCTTTTTCCGGTGGATAACCAGTTATTCAGCTTTGCCGAGGCACTAAGTAAAAAATCAATTTACTCCAAATCAGTATGATCATTTTCGCCATTATGTGATCCTAAACATCATTAAGTCAGCACCAACAGCACTTGTATCCAATAAATAGGTCCTAGCATCCAACCCTGCGGTCCAATATGCGGTACACTTTATCGTTATCAGCCTTTATTCTAGAACCTTTAAGTTTCGTTTTTATTTTCTAGATTACATTAAACATCAATTCAGTTCCGTAAACGCACTTTTTATGGGAAAACCGTTCGTGAACTTTAACATTTTCTACTCTTTCTCGTTCAGGACCCTTAAAAACTTTTAATAAAATATGTTTTAAAAAGAGTTTTGATGTTATACTTATTCGTGTGAGTGCTTGCATTTTAGGYAAATATTGGTGTTGTGTGTACCTACGAGATAACTGAGTCCGCCACGTTTGTTGCTGGGATACAAACACAGCAMAATTATAAGCATTGTGATAGAAGCTTTCGGCGAAAAAGCTCTTTTTTGACGTTAAGAGGGTTTTTCTAGGTGATTAATATATAACAGCACAGATAATGATGAAAAGAGGGATAGAATTAAGGAAAAATGAAAATTTCCCTTTGCAGTTTGCGGATCAGTTGAATTTTGATCATTATTTCTAGACATCATATTGACACTGTCACTTTCAAAACGAGGTCGCGGTTCCTGTATATACTTCAAAGATATCTTTAAAATAGGAATAATTAACTTGTTTATTRAAATAGCATTTTTTTGGTAATATTTGCAGTGATTTTCCACTTACAAACATAATAGAAATTTACTGGAATAAATTAAACTTTTTTTGATTTTATATTAACAATTCCGTACCGTTTTCCAACTTATTCCTGGTCYAATTAATAACGCAAAATGGACAACTAAGTCAGAGGGATAAAAGAGGCAATAGAGCTCTATGCAAATTCCTTATTCCCATTTAGAGTTTTTAGTTAAAAGCTATTATGGTCGAAACTGTCATAAATTACATTCAACTATTTAATATTCATCTCTCACCATGCTAATAAATTGATATAAAAGATTACGATACAACATTTCTAAAAAAACTGCCTAAAGATCGATAAAAGAAGAAAAAATCGTGAATCTTTATTGACAAATACTTGTCCTAATTGATATTCAGTTCCTCGTCAAAACGAATACACTTTAAATATAGTGTGAAGCGAAGTGGAACCCAGTAAATTTTACACGAATACAAAACTCGCTTCCTACAGGHTGATATTCGTCAAAAAAGTACAATTATTTTGAAATCATTGTCTAAAATTGTCGATGCAATTATTTATGTCTATTTTATAGTACAATTGAGACATGAAATGAGCAATATTTAGTCTCCAAGAAAAGTCCTTGCTGTACTAACCTTATTTGARTAATGTCTACATTTCCTTCACGTTATATATATGCCATATATATACCATGAGTTWAAGTATCTGTACACGGCCTTAAAGCAATACTCGCTACAGCTACAGGTTTTATGCGTTGAACGCAGTTTAGGTTTAGACGTCGAGAGTGAAAGAGAACCTGAAATTATTCTTGTACTCATGAGATGTCAATCATGTCAACGAGACGTCAGACTGATTGAATAATTAATTCTCATAACGTGCTTCAAKGGTGATGAAGTCTATATTCTCACTACTTGTCTATCGTCAATGTAACAAACGATGTTCAAATGATAAGAAAAGAAAATTCATTGAAACATGCMAAAGCTGATGGTCTCCAGGTTTTCTATTCAATCTGTGCTGCCTTCGATATTCAGCAAGCCCAGTGTTGTTGGGCCAGTGTTTATRATATGGTGGTACTCAAGRCTATCTATAAATGTTTCTGCATGCTAACTGGCTATACCACTTTTGCCAATYTAGCGGGTGGTTGCAGGTACATCACTTGAACAAAATTTGCAAACCTTTCTCAGGGTACCCGGGTAGGGAGTTGTCTWTTCGTMCCCATAACTKCATACAATAAAAGGACAAAGCATTTATTAGGGAAATTTGACTTTGGAAAAAGGTAAGACCTGTCCCACAGTCATATCTTGAAGAAGCTCACTCATTACATCTGAAAAACCTTGCCTCACCCTCCCCTCCCTAGTTACTATTAAATGTTAATGAAGTTTTTTAAGGGGATCGAAMWAAGCGCCACAATGAATTAGACATCATGTCAACATGGCAGTCTTCAAGGATATTGTCATCGTRTTGCATTCGTTGGTAGTAATGGTGGCCATACARTATGCTTTGCTGGGTCAAAAACATGTCGAATGTCATACAAACCTCTGTAACTTATCTCATGAAGAAGAAAGTTTATCAAGGGATCCACCAGGCAAGGTGCAATGCTCTTGCTGCAAATTCACCAAAAGAAATTTTGTTTTTACAGTTTTTACGTCTCAAGCTGTTCTTCATATGATAATATCAATTCTAACAATTSTCTTGAAACATCGGGTGTTTAGGTTACCGAAGTACTTGTGGATGTATGCAGTACTTATGGGCATAGCTGCTATCAATACTTTTTACATCACAAGACTCTTCGCTGTAACTAAGCCTYRTTTAACAAATGAAACTGAAAGTGTTCTGTGGAGCGCATTTACAGCTCCATTTCGATTTACAAGGACCATAGTTTCAACAATTATATGCACAGCTCTCAGGATACTAATATCAGAACCTACTGGTCTTAACACTTGGCTGGAACGAGATACCAGCACAAACAACTTCCATATATGTTCTTTAAACCACGATGACGTCATGTGGGATAGTAGCGAATATATCCTGGTTATATTATCATGGAGTTATATCGTGTCGACAGTTTTAAATATCTACATTCTTCTTAATTGTATGATCAAAGACAAGCAAATTATGATAAACGAAATGAATTATAATAATTGCACAAAGTCAATAGAGTTCACAAAAAGTCAAGACGAAGTTGACTGTGTTAGTTATAGTAGTGACGAAGATTCGTTCGTGTTGGGCTGGAGACTATAGACCATCGCGTCTCATATCTTTATGTATCATCATCAACATTGACTTCACGTATGATAGTATCTTTTGTAAACGTACGCTCTCTGAGCGCTCACGTGGGTTACATTAAGAAAACTTGACGCTCTCTGAGCGCGCACTTGGGCCAAGGGTGAAATATAAAACCATAAAACCTCAACATCGTTTATGCTTGAAGAATCGGACTCCACGTAAGAACACAATGCTCCTGAATATGTCAGAACYACGATTGTTTGACTGATAGATTAATAAATTGACAGGTCTGGTTGATCTTTGACGACTGGGGACGAGTCAGGGTTGATAGTGCACCCCTCGTACATTAGGCCCCAGATCGATATGGGTGTTTTTCACATGGTAAATGCGATTGTTTTTTCACAGATTCCAAGAAATAACCATAGAGATTAGATTTAGGGATCGAGTCGTGTTTCTTGCGGCAAAGCCTTTGTAAACAATACGCATGGCAACGTCGTTGTATGAGAATGCACAACATTTTCATAAAAACTGTTCTTTATTCATTGCGTATCGCTAATTTACAAGGCTGAAATTCATCCAGCCACAACATAAAACAATCATTTCACTCAAAGATTATCACCGCACGGCATCCTCGTTACCAGACCACTAAAATTCTTGGCCGGGAAAGCCTGGTWATTATCTATTGATCCAATTCTTGGCTTACAATAAAAACCTAGATTCTTTAGTAAATAAAATTCTGATACTATTTTATCAGCTCTTAATTTTTCACGAGGAAAGGAACTACATTATTTATACAATAGAGATGATTGTTCCTGCAGCGATTGCGCAGTCCTTGCTATGTTTACGGCTCAATATATCGATGCGAATTCGATTAACATGACGTCACTATGACGTCGCAACTCATGACGCAATAATTTYATGACGTCATGCTCTCCACAGGCAACGTTTCGTCGTCAAAGAAATATTCACACTTTTCAATGCATGTTTGAATGAAGAGTCCAAAGTTCATTTGTCGATGCATTGACTGGAAGGACTCAAACTGTATTCGTAGCAGTGTTGGGAAGATGACTGTCGATAGGTTACGAGATTCCATTAGATTTTCTTGAGAGAAATCGGTTATCCTTGATAAACATAATAAGAATATATCAATATTTGTACATCACTGAAAATGAATGAATGGATGGATGGATGGAAGAATAGATGCATGAAAAAAATGACGAGATGAAGTAATCAGATGAATCGATAAATATCCAACCAAATATGGGAATATATGGATGAAATGAATGAAACAATTAAAAAAAAATACTTTCTCTGATTAACAACCACCGTCCAAAACGACAGAACAATTATAAATCCTTTTACGAATTACAATCGATACTTTTTTTACAAGTGAAGAAATGAATAAAAGTTTGGAAAAAAGACAGGATAACGAACAGAAAACATAAATCCTTTACCTGTTAAGATGGAACATAAATCGTTTCAAAAGAGCGAAATGCAGCGGCGGCATGTCGTTGACTAAATTTTTCAGCACAGAACATCGTTCACCACCATCCATGATAGCTGTAAACAAAGTACAAGTTTATTGAAGCCGCTAATAACAATATCAACAAACTTTACCTGCGTTTACTTACCTGTAGCCTCGAGTATTTCGTTCTGAAGATTGTTGGGTATCAACGGTTCTGGTAGGCGTTTCAAAAATGATTTTAATGCCCCTGTAACTGAATGCGCACTGACGTTGAGATTAGACCAGTCCATATCGGGATCTAAATGACAATGACGTCATGGTTAGTGGTTATTGGTAACGATAACTACTGGTTGACAATATTATGGTACGTACTTTCTTCGAATCTCTCAACGATGAGTCTGATATCGATGGCTTTTCCAGGAACACGGTAGATACCTTCAATCTGCATACCTGGAAAATACAGTCACAGTCATCATCATCATTATCCATCAAAATGATGGTGACGATTATTAGCTATCGCTGCATCTATTAACACTTGCTAGCAATGGTGACGATTATTAGCTATCGCTGCATCTATTAATACTTGCTAGCAATCAAAATCGTTACCTTTTTCTTCCACGAACTCAATGCATTTGTCGACAAATACTGGCACATTTCGTCCAGTCTCACAGATCTCTTCCAGGGCCCGTCCAAAGTACGTACTTGGTTGTTGTTCACGGTTTTTCTGTTTCTCGTAGGTACTTCCTTTCTTCTTATATTTCTCCATTTGTTTTTTCATTTTATTTCTCTTTTTCTCGTCATGTCGTTTTCTTTTCTCAAGTTCCTTCTCCATACGCGTTTTCTTTTTCTTAGATTTCTGACGTAAGAGAAGCAAATGTTTAAACTATTAGTATTCATATGTTGGCTGAATGATCTGTATTATACTAAATATGCATTAAACATGTTATTTTCACATGCGAAGTTRTTTTTACTTCTTTGTGAGAGATGGCCTGGTACTTTAATGACATTCATGTTTCACGGGTCTACCGAATCCAATCTACACCCGCGAAAAAGTAATTTGAACATCAGTTTTTAGATGATGTAGTATTTCCCAAGTCAGTATGATGGAAGATTATTGATTTTAGTTATTCATCATCATTGAAAATCCAAGATTTTTTGAATGGTTCCCTGTGGAGCCCCTGGTTTCAGAGGATGGTAATTTATTTCAGGATTTATTTTTTTACAAATCATTTGCTGTCAGAGCAAAACGCACCCTCCTACAGTACGGTATTATATTGTTATATTGATATCTACATTTAGCATCTTAAATGGTTATATTTTTTATTGATTCTTATATTTTCTAAATTGTAATACACGATTTATGGCCKCAAACGGAGAGTACTTTTATTTTCATCAAGTGTAGTGCTTACATTTTTTCTAGAAAGACTTGAAGCCGGCGAACGCGTGATGTCTTCCTCGGTYTCCTGGTGCAAACACGAACAATGTGGTCAGCGTGCATTGATTATGACAACACAAACAACTTGTTCAGCAGAAACGAGTGTAAGAGCACAGAAATTTTGGTCAGCGTTCATTATGAGAACATGGTTAGAAAGCATTGAGACTGCAAGCATTAAGGTCAACTTGTATCGCGAGAAAAATGAATCTCAGGAAAACCGTTTAGGTAGCATTAACAGTGTGTTACTCATTATTACCGCTCATTATGTTGCGCTAAGTTTATTGTAAATTCATGTTTTTCATAAGGTATTAATCCTGATAAACGTATCAGGCTTTTTATTATCAAATTATTGTCAAAAATATATATTGAATATTTATTAAGTTATAGAGTTATCAAGGAGGATATTAAGGTCTTTAAGGTTAATTATTGCCCAGGTTAATGTCTTTTGTTTAGAAGGTTTATTAGAACTAATTAGCACTAAATAGCACCAATAACAACAAGCCAATATCAAACTATAATCATTGAAACGCAGAGTGATTTTTTTCKTTGGAGTACGAATGAATGCAACATCTTTTTGCATAGTTGCTTCTTAAATTTCCAATGAAAATCACACTACTGATTAAATAGTAATCATATTTGTAAGATAGAGTGCTCGCACTAAATGCGTGAAATATAAATACTACAAAATAAGTGATAAATTATACAAATTCCTTTGTTTCCTATTGTATAATCAACACTATTTAGTAGTAATTAGTACTATTTGTTTCACGCTTTAAGTGCGAGCACTCTAATACTCTCTTTCTACAAAGTAACAATAGTTTACCTCTTCTGATTCATTCAGGTCTTGTCGAGGTACTTCCAGTGAATCCGTCTGAGAAAAACAAAATATCGCAATCACAATCACAAAATAAGAACCCTTACGACTACGCACTTAATACTGCCACTCCGTCTTATATACCAGATTCTTATGTTCCGGMAAATCAGACATTCGTCCAGGTTAATACGGATACCCCGTTCATACGGCCAGCTGTCCTTTCGTCAGCCGGATTAGTGAGGTTTCGCTGTATTATATCATCAACATCACCGTTCTAATTACTATAGTCATACCTTCAGTCCAGGCGAGTACCAGGTCGGTGGRGTTGATACCTTTGATAAATTATTTTTCTTTTTGTTCTCAAGGCTGCTTGTATCTGAAGATTCTTCATTTGAGTCAGCGAACTGTTTACCTTCAGATTTGTGGACTTTCTTGGATCCTGTTAAAACGGATGAGAAAGACAGGTATGAAGAGATGAATAAACATATCAATTAATCGACCGCCGACCAATCGATATTAGACAAACCGACCAATCGATTGTTAGACAGTCCGACCAATCCATTGTTAGACAAACCGACCAATCGATTGTTAGACAGTCCGACCAATCGACCGCTGATCTACCTGACCGATAAACAGACCATTTGAAAAAGCACAAAGGAGTATACAGAAGAGAATTAAGAAAAAGAATGGAAAATAAAAAGAAATGAAAAGGAAAAGTAAGAAAGAAAGAAGATGAAAAAGTGACATTCACCTTTACTTTTCATTTTGTGTTTTAATGAGTTGGACTTCTCAACGTCAATGGAGGCATTTGGTGTARTATCGTCACTYTTATGACGTACTCTTGCAGGTGAGGAACGCCGTGAACGCATTTTAATATTGATCTTTTTCTTTCGTTCACGATCATGCTTGCGTGACATCGAGTCCTCATCACCAGTTCCCCCATCAGATGTAACGCCATCCAATAATTGTAAGTCACGCTTGTGACGTCTAAAACCAAAACCTGCAATGAAAGACATTGAGAAGTGTCAGAGAGGTCAGGCTTATGTCAATCAATCCATCCAATCAATCCATCAATCAATCAATCAATCAATCAATCAATCAATCAATCAATCAATGATTCAGCCAGTAAATCAATTAATCAATCAATTAAATTAATCAAATAATGCTGTCATCATTAACGCCATTATAGAGAAGTAACTGTCATTAATACCTTCCTTATATGACAATTACCTAGTTTTTTGCTAGTAGACCGTTCCAGTGTTGTGGATCKTAGTTCCTCGGCCGAGTATGATGACCTCAGAGTACCCGTTGAGTAGCCCGTGGGGGTCTGGGCAGTGTCATCATCAGCTTTAATAATTACAGGCATATCGTCTTGTACACGTGAATAATCAGGATCTTCATCCTCCTGAAACATTGAAAAATAACTAATTATCACTGKCTACTAGCACTTTTTCCGGGGGAGGGGGTAACATGCTCAAAGCCAATGCTTTTAGTTGGTGCAAAGCCTAAAATAAAATCTTCTATCTGTCTGTTTGTCTGTCTGTTTGTTTGCTTCTACATGGTGCCCAAGTTTGGTTATGTAATGTTTGTTGTTACATTGATAACTCAACAGTTAGTAAAATACATACTTGACCACAACTGTTACAATTATAATTAATACTGATTATTTATATATTAAAACTTCTGAAATAAAACGTTAACTTATTCAATTACAATATAATATTACAATTTAATGTTACGTCTATGTTAGTAAAATAAATCAAATCCAAGTACTTGATACTACATTTAAGCGTGATTACTTTTAGGTACAAAGTAATATCTAAACAACAACCTCATAGTGCATGTTAGTTTACCCATTATATATCATTTCATTAGATAATTATAACAGCTGTTAGTAGCACACATAACCAATTATTATTACTGGCATATTCCTGGAAATGGTGTGATGTGGTGGTTCTGCTGGTGTTATTACTGGTACTGGTGBGGCACCCATTCAATACTGCATTCATTTACCTCTTGCGAAGCCAGTGGTGCCTTCTTCACTTTACTATACAAGTCAGGTACAGAATTTCTTTTTTCTTTTCGTTTGATCCAAACTTCATTCTCGACAGGTTCTCTTGACCTTTCATTAAACATTTGTACTTTCTTGTTGAAAGCAAGTTGGTATGGATCTGGTTCTTCTCCATTTTTAGTGTTGTGGATTTCCTCATATACCCTATTTCTAGCYGGCCGGTCATTAATTGTCGAATACCCATTATAAACACTACGAAGTGTGTCWACACCTGAGTCATTAGGATTGTAGTCCTCGTCAAGGTTATCTGGACGGTCAGGTAAAGGAGGTGGAGTTTCACCAGGTACTTGTCTTTTAGCAGCGATGTTAGGATTGGCATAGAGAGAATTCTCAATTAAATTGACTTCACTCTCGTTCATCATACTTACATCTTTTGATTTTCTGAATGATTTCTTCTTTGTTTTGTCAACCTGTAATAATAATAATAATAATAATAATAATTCAATATTGTATTTTTTACATTATGCAGTCTCCATATGTAGATTTTCCAGGAAGGTTTGGGATAGACAAGACACTAGTACATAATAAAACCAACCTCTGCATAAATGTCTTCACCACGACTACGTCTTTCCCCAGCAGTGATGGGTGTGGCACCCTTCTCAACCGGCACATGATTATCCATTGCATTGGGTGTTGACGTCATTGGTATAGTAAGCTCATGACCCGACTTTGCTTTAATCAAGGCCTTCGTTTCAGCACTGAACTCCGCGTATGGTGAAGTATCATCAATATCATTAGCTGATAACCTGTGACGAAGGGGGGGAGGGCTAGGCAGCCTTTCGCTAGCTGTCCTTCGTCGAGTAACTTCTACAGGGGTCTTGTTGTTCATATAGTTAAATTGTGGTGGTGGAGCAGGTAGAGGGTCATGGACATTACGTTTAGTGAATTCTCGCTGTCGTGCTCGTTGTTCTTGAATAAAGTTGTCATAAGCTATTTCACTGTCATGTTTCTTGTCCCATGCGCTATTAAAGAATGGAGAGAAAAGACCACCTAAAGGAAAATAGAACACTTGATCAATAGAACACGTGATCAATAGAACACTTGATCAATAGAACTCTTGATCAATARAACACTTGATCAATAGAATACTTGATCTTGTTCAATTAACACTACATCAAGTTTGAATAAAACAACACACACCTTGGTGTTGAAGCTTTGAGTTGGTAGTTTGAAACTTGGCGCACAATTTACTAGCAAGATTGACACCATCAGCTAAGAGTGTTACAGGGACATCATTGCTATGGAACACCACACTTGCTCCTGATGCAGACCCTGTTACAGCAAGTACTTGGATAGGTACGTGAGGAATGGATGCTGAGAATGCACTAAAGGAGTAATAAAATATATTCATGATTCCTGTGCTTTTAATTGAAAAATAATTGTTGTATCCAGAAAACTAATTCAGAAATCTAATCTCAGAAATGGGTTAATGGAATTGAAAATGAATTGCAAAGAGCAGAGGATTGACAAAAAATGACTAGGATACGTAATTCCATACACACACAGATCATAGTTAAGATGACGTAGAKATATTCGTTTAAATCAATAATAAATGTTAGTCGTAGTCATCACTGTTCAGCCAGCTCATGTTTGATATAAGTAGACTTTGCTGGTGCACCCAGGGCCAGGCACGTCCAGGAATATGATGATAATGTTAAAGTTTTCTCTACACACCTCAAAGTTGCTAGGGAAGCTTTTCGTGTTGCTGAGTACACCAGGATGTACCCATGATACATTTGATCATTTAGGCTGTATGCACCTATTAAAATATTAAAAATACTGTAATCAAGAAACACATACTTCTATAGAATCTTTGATCATGCTAAACTAGTAAATTAAAGAATCTTTGATCAGCTAAACTAGTTGATTAAAGAATCTTTGATCATGCTAAACTAGTTGATTAAAGAATCTTTGATCATTCTAAACTAGAATCTTTGATCATGCTAAACTAGTTGATTAAAGAATCTTTGATCATGCTACACTAGTTGTTGATTATAGAATCTTTGATCATGCAGTTGTTCTTTGATCATTCTAGACTAGCAAGTTATTTATTTTCTCTGCAATCAAATAAATAAATTCTATAGAATTAATAAAATACTAACGATGGTATGAGGTAAGCTTGATTTGCACTCTTCTCTTCTCAAAACCAACATATGTCTCCAGTACAATGGTATCAGGATGGGAGGGACTRCGCCAGCATGATTGATGGTAGAGTAATGGACCAAAGATAAGCTCTACAGGGTATGGATCACCACACATTGCACACAACATGATCCTGGAAATATCAAACACAGCAATCAGATGTCTATCCAGTCTGTGCTTTCTRTATGACTGTTATTATAATATAACTAGAGTATAATATGTTAACCTACAAGACATGTAAAGCTATCTTACTTAAGATCTGGTTCTGAGTCTCTGATGTCATCAGCTGAGCACAGCTTCCTGGACTGTTGCTTGATGTCTTCAACTAGTATTCTCATTGCGTCTACTACCTGGGTCTCATGGATRATCTTGTCACGGGAAAATCTTGCCAGGGGAATGTCAATAAACGCTGCACCAAATCTACCATAGATATTGGATATTATTAATTATTATTTGTATCCTTATAAGTGGATATTAGTGATTGGTATGGACCTACCTCTGTGCCAGGTCTTGTCCTCTTTGTCGCAGACTGGACAAGGTTTCAACATCWTCAATGTCTGTGTTCTTGGCCAGGAAGATGGTGATGGATGCCGATAGGTTAAACATTGATGTGTCGTCAACGCTATTATACCTGGACTTACTATACATCTCCTCTAGTAAATCATGCAAGTAATCCAAGGACTTTGAGGTGGAGTACACGCAAAAATACCCTACARCAACACAAAAAATATCAACCTTTCTACCAAGAACATGTCTGTACCAATAGAGCAGATTTCTTATGAAAGTGCACCAATAGCTGTGTCATTTTCATGCTGTGGTTTGATGCAGTTGATTTCAAGGACTGTTTCCATCACTACCAGGCAGGGTTTGGTGACCATACCATGTGTCATCTRTCCATGCAGTTACACAATCATATAAAATCTGCTCATAAGGACATCAAAAACACACACTATGTCAGAAGTACATACCATGTGGTACACTATCTGTACTCGTTAGTCCATACTCTGGTATATCAACATCACCATCAATAACTCTCAGGTCCAACTCATACATACGACCATCAAGTACATATTCATACCCCTCGCCATAGGAACACTGCGACTGTAGATAAAATAATAATTATTACAATAAATATGATATATGGTGATTATTAATTCTATAGTGAGTGGAAATATTACAAACAGCATCTCTMAACAACCCCAAAGGGCAGCCCAACCTCTTTTTATGGAGGAGGCTCATATCATCTAATATTAGTCAAGAAACAGCAGGATTGATCACCACTTAATATTAGCTATTTTTTGAATGGGCTGCCCGTGCACCTAGATTTATACCTGTATCTCTTTCTCAAGATTCTGTCCCAGTCCTTCACTTCCAAGAATGACAATGCTGAGTTGACTGTCTTCRCTGTCAAGTGTTTCATCACTACCAGAGTATTCAGGTCTGAAACAATGCAAAATATATTTTGTTAACTGATACRTTATTCATTCATTCATTGGATAATATGAAGGACTTTATAATTCTTTTTATCAGTGAGCTTTGTATAAAATAGTAGATTACGAACTGCTTTATCATTTAACAAAGCAAATAACAAGCTACTAAAGCTTGTATTAACTTGTTCTTCAATGTTGGATAAAAGCCTCCAAATTGTGCATTAGAGGTCATAGCTGTCACATGCGCAAGCTCAATCGAAGTATGAATTCGTCTGTAGATAAACAACTGTTAAATGTCTTTACTCTAGGAATACAATTAGTACTGTATAGCAAAACACACACTTAACATTTAGTGGTATTTAGGACAAGATGCATTTAATTAGACCACTAGTGTGAAATGGCAATTAAATTTGGACAACATACATCAGTCTTAATGGAAAGATAAGATTGATGTAAGAGATCTTTATCTGTGACTTAACTTCAGTTTTATCTGCAAATCTACTCTGAAATAATAGTCCTTATACAGGCTGATGAATTCATAATTGGTGGCTTCAGACAACCTGATGTTATCTGTTTATAAGACTCTTACTCATATTCATATCTTACTCATAACTTTTATTATCTTATTTTGTGTTGTCTTCTGAATATTATAAATATAACTATCATAAATTATTTTATTACTCTATTCTATGCAGTCAATGCATCTAATTTAGGGTATTATAAACAGCATGCAATTTTTATAATGTGTTTACAATATTGTAAGCAGTATTGTCCTTAATGATTTCCTTTCCATTGTTATAATGATCAATGTTATAATAACAAATATTTAACATCTAGTACAAATACTGACTCTCATAGCATCCATAGAAACACTGCCCACCTCAAAGGTTAAAATTCCAAGAATGTTTCTTAATGGTACCTGTATTGTGTCTATTTTATATGMATCAAGCCCTGTGTACTTTCATAAAGAGGTTTTTATATTTCAAAATGCTATATATTAAAGTTATGTAGGATACAATGACYTTGAATAGTGAAGACTATTATCAGTCTCACACGGATACCCATCCGCTTATTCTTAAAATGTTAACCTATGAATAATCAACAAACTTGCAAAGTACATGAATACTAATACAGAGCACTTTTGCTCAGAAAAATATACAGCATGCAACACTTTTATATTCCCAAAATGCCTTTTATATTTCATACTATTAAGTATACAAGATTTTYCTTTTGTGTGTGTGTGTTTTTTTCTGGTTCTCTAGCTATATTGTATTTATTCAAGTGCCAAACATCCAGACAATTTGATTCTTCTTGGAGAGAAGTGTTTTCATTTAAATACTTATAAGTTGGTGGGACTYGTGACTTGATATTGACAATATGTAAATATAGTCTTAATTTTYATTCAATTTAATCCTCATTTAAAACCATCATATAAAATACAAAACAAAAATGTAAAATTATCATATTCATAAATCATTCAAAATTCATATATGAGTGTRTGTAGAAATCATGACAGAAGTCATTCATAGGGTTTATTTACAGCCTATACATTCAGATGTCAGTCAGACAATATATCACCTATCATTACTCAATATTAAGTGAAAATAATATGTTCATAAAACAATAGCTAAAATGATATTTTATCTAAAACATATACATGTATTATTGTATGAAACAATGAATCTAAGAATATWCTAATAAATACAGACAAAATTGACTCAAGCAATAAGGGATAAGATACTTTTAACTGAACACAATACAGCCATAGTTTGGTGGTATAAARAGCATAATTTCAAGACAATCAATGAGAGGCTGCATAACCAATACATTAATAAACACTTCCCTTTCACAGGGACGACATGAGTTGTGTTAAAGGAGAATTACAACACAGCATGAGCAAAAAATACCAGAACAAAAGATAAAATTTACATATAATGTCTACACACCGGAAAACTGCCATTTTATAGTTTAAAAATACTCAAGTTGAACGTTTGTGAAATTATAATACCAAAAAGAAAAGAAATTGATTTCAATTTTGACTCGGACTCCAGACAGTCAGTCTATACTTAAGGCAGCCCTAATACTATGTCAATAGCRAAGGAGCGTAATGGGTCATTACCACATCTTCTTTCATGTTGGAATAAAGTGTTGACAGTAAACTGGCGATAATGTTTTGATTAGAGAGTAACTAGTGTGGATACTAGTCCATTTATCTCGGACTGTGAGCAAGGAAAATCCACAGTAAGAATTCATGATTGAAATCTCAACAATAATCAACAACAGCAAAGATTAATTGTAAGAATAACAATCTAGATGTTGTACAAGGGTCATCAGTATTCAGCCATGCCCTACACTTAAAAAGAGCAGAGCACAAACAACAATATCAAGAGGCAATACCATCGAAAAAACCCCTAAGTGACATCATGTTAGAATATATAAATGACGGCAGGAATGTATTATTTGCTTATTCAACACAAATTACTAACACAACGGATATTGTTATTACTTCAAAACAGATACAGGCAAACATGTGAATGTGTGAAAAAATGAGAAGAATTTTACTATTGTAAAAAAGCCATGGAATGAAATGAACAAGCAAGCCAGACAAAATGCACCAGAGTCCTTCATGTTGGAGTTTGTGGTTGGATTAAAAAACACCACAGACATAGACCGACATCAACCTTGTGGCCGTCCACGCGGCGCAGCAGAATGAGCTCACAATCCGTACATATCTTAGCTTCCTCGGCGTTTTGTCAATATTTTGACCACATGCATAACACTATAGTCATCAATCAATAGCAAAAAGGAGCATTATCAAACCGTATCGTCATAAACCAATGTACATATACTTGATCTTATACACTCATGAGGAACATAACATTTTAACACCGTTATACCATCGTCAATGAATACTACTATACTCGGTCTTAAACACCGGTTATTCTCGGCTAGTATTAACAAATTAATGATAGATCATTGTCATATTGATAGTCCTATACTAGGGCTTAATGCCCGGTCAATACTTGCTGGTATTAGCTTGTCATACTCACCGATATGCTGTCGTCGCGACGATTTCTTGCATAAGACGATCGCTGCATTTATCTGGTCCGCATAGACATCGAGAAGGACTGTTTAGCAAAGCGATGTGATTTAGAATTCTAATTTTACGAATACTCTCTAGCTTATCAAGCCTTCTATATCGATCGTCTAGATATAGGTTGGAATAGATTGCTTGCATGTCATCCTCAGATGGTGTAGCGTTAGGCTCTAGCTTTGTAAAACAACTGGCTGATTCAAATAGCAGCTCCTGAAAATCTGCCTTTGCTTTTTCAGCAATGTCTCTTAAGTAGGAATCAAAGATGGTTAATCTTTCTGATTCATCTAAATACTTGTAACTTTCCTCGTTCTGTAAAATTGATTCAACATCACGCCATTCACTACCAGGTCGAATCTGCGGTGTCAGTTCTAAAAGTTTTCTGAATTCATTTTTCATTCTGCTCTTCTTCTCGGCTGCTTTTAGCTTGTCAATGTGAAGTTTAAAAGCTTGATCAGCTTCGGGAAGAGATAAAACATCATAAGGAATACGAGAATCATTGCTGAGAATATGATCGCTTTCATTCCATGATGTACTGTCAGGGAGAACGATCATCCATGTACTGAAGTCTTTATGGTTTCTGATCATTCTTTGACAGACATCCCAGCTCCATTGATAAGTGTCCAAACAGCTGATATTAGGAACCAGCTCATCTAAAGCATGTGGCAGCTTTAACATATACTCCATAAGCTTTCCTTCTTCAAATTCACGGCGTAGTTTGCGGATATGTTTTGCAAATATTTTCTTACAAGCTTCCGAGCCAAAGAGATCGCGATATGCAACATACTCAGGCTGCACTTCAATTGATTTCTTGGTGTTTTTCCACAAACATTGGAAATTATTAACATTTCGATTGATCAAAGCTTGATATTCTTGAAGAGTTTTGTCCAATAATTCTTGATGTATTTTAGATGCCTCAGAATAAGGAGTAAGCTTAGAACGTATTCGGCCTTTCTCGATCAACTGGCCCAGTATTATGAACGCTAGGTCTACATTTACATTTTCAAGCGCTGAACATTCGACTATGGGCGCGTTAATTTTCTTGCTCTGAATAAATCTATACAATTCTTGAAGTAAACTTAACTGTGTAACATCACATTTGTTTGCTATTATCACAAATGGTCGTTTACTCTTCAGGATTTGTGATATTAATGTTGCTACAAAGCGTTCTTGCGTCTCTTCAAGACGTTTCGCGTTAGTAGCTTCAACATCATACACCACAAGAAAGCCATCGATATTTACTTTGCCAGCGGGAAAAGGGACTTTCTCAAAATCATTCTGTAAAGCTACTTGCTCTCTGCTAATGTACATTAGTTTTTCAGGAGAGTTGAGTTTAGTAGCCGTGGCACGCTTGGGGTAGGGCAGACCTCCACGAGCAAGCGGCATAAGAGAAGCATCGTCAATGAATTCAGTTTGCTCAATAACATTGAATCTATACTCTGTTCCATCTTCTCCTGTCTGTAGTTTACTTCCCCAATAAAGAAATGAATCATTATTGATAACTCTACCACCAAAGTCAGACGTAGAAAACACTGAGGTATGATTTGCTATGAAGTCATCAGCCAACGGCCGTACAAACCGATTGCACAGACATGACTTTCCAACACCATATAACGACTGATCTTTGTCTAACCCCGACAAACCTACAACTGAAATGTTGTATGTCTTCAGGTCGTTGCTCCTCTTGGACATACCTAGGCGTTGGAGCCCTCTCAGCTATGATTTCTCGTCCATACTCATGTGTTCTGGTGAGTACACGGCCTCGAAGCCGCCATTTTGTGTCGCTTGTTTGAATATGCCCCACTGAAGAAAGCCTTTATAGTCACGTGACAAGGGGGCATGTTTACATCATTTACATAATCATTGTGAAATCGATCCCTTTGAAAATCCCCTTGAATTAGCTGACTTTTGCGTTCTATTCTTTGGCGATTCTCTAAAATAACCAAACGAATAATAAACATTAGATAAAAAAAGAACTTGACGAGGGATTTTTTTGTTAGCATGGGAGAATGCAACCCTGGAGAGCTTGAAGGGGGTCTTCTGGAGGTGAAGTTCTGTCATCATCTGGCAGTCGATAGCCAACGTCACAGGGTGGGGACTATTCTATTTAAGTACCAATCGTCCTTTATAACTCTCTCACGGCTCTAAAAATAGCAGAAAATCACTTTTCGCACGTTGGCCATTGAGAATACCCAGCCATCAAGCGTAAAGTACCCTCAGAATCAATGGTAATAATTTCTCCCATCTTAATAAACTCAATCATCAGCATAAAGCGGATTTATCCCCATCGCGATATTGTTATTGTTTAATTTAAAAGAGGAAAATAAAACAAAGATTCCCTTTACACAGAAACTAATTATGTTGCGCGCGAAGAAACCGATTGTTCTATTTACCATCTTTTACCATTTCTAAAAGAGTGCATTGGATATTTACTTTACTTTGTTCTTATTCTTTATGATAGAATATAAGAAAAGGAGAAATCATAATCAAAATGATATCATCGCCATTCCCCCGCGGTAATCAGTACACAAAATGGTATGCATATATTATAGATGCGCGGCGATTGTCATCCACAGAGTTGCATATTGCACGCCAAGTGACCACTTGTGCGCGGTACACACCCGCGAAGCAAATACTAAACCATGTTTTAACTGTGTTGATCTTTTACTGGACGTCGTGGAGCCTACATAACACACAATATTTACCATCTTGGTACAAGAAAATAAGTGTGAAATCTACCACCTCAAGCTTCAAAATGGCGGGTGTAATATCGAGTGCATTTCGTCTTCACGATCAAGACATAGACCACGATGAATTCTTCAAAAAGCTTGTTAAACTTGATGTAAACGACGAACAAGGACTTTCATCCTTTTTAAACGAGTATAAATTCAAGAAGCTTTCCGTAAAAGGACTGAATCGAGATTTAATTTTCGCGGGAAGAGAAGCCACTGCACTGTTCGATGATTTTACTCTTGAAATCTGGAAGAAATACTATGTGAACGAGGAAGTGATTCAAATAGCTATTCTACAGGGAACTCTCCCTTTCCCTCTAGAGGTAGGCTGTACAAACGAATATACAGTATTTCAAGTTTGTTTCGATGTTACACATGACTGAACACGAAGTGTTTGGTAAGCCATTCGAATGCACGAAAAAAACCTGTCAAGTGTCACATTCTCTCAAGCTGTGTATTCAAAGACGAATCGAAACATTCAAAGCCATGTAAACATATATATATTTTATACTGGTTTCAAAAGTGAATCTTAGTTTCTATGATAAAAACGGTTGGCACTCCCTCTACTTATGACAACAATTTGCCTTCTTCTTATACATGTTTATAACTTGTATTTTATCCGTTTTGAAGGCTATTCAATGCGAAAACAAAAGCGATGAAACTCAATATAAACCACTCCACTAACTCACTGTAACAAATGAAACGAACAAAACCCCGATTTCTCTTTCGTAGGTTTATCAGATGCCTTTTTTTTTTGTCTTGAATTTTACGGAAATTCGACCCAGCAACTTCCACATTGCTTTGCACCTGTTTGGCTTATATGTTCTATTTTTAAAACATTGAAAAATTCACATTTATTATTTCAGGGTGTCAAGGAAGGTAACATTTGATTGCCCTGGGTATTATTAGGAAAAATAAAAGTTTTAATAATTTGTCAATTTGAACTGAGAATATTTAATTAATTAACATATTCTGTCTGCTCTGTCCAGGCTGCCATCATGTACGCCCAATAAAATGACGGCTTATAACTTCTTCTCACATATTTCCATTGGTTTCAACTGTAAATCTGGTCCACTATGTCAAACTTTTTTCTAAAGTCTAACTTGTGCTTAAATCTATTCCAGGGACTATTTGTTGGTAAAAGTAGTGGTAAACTGTTTGTCTGCAAAGAATCAGATGATTACCAGGAACAACATATCACATGTGTGGGATACAGCATGGAGCATTTTCTCACTGTAGGACCACAGCGCTTGCTGGAATATAACAAACCCCAGTGTATGTTTGATAACTGTTATGGATGCTTTGATCCTCTGATTAAGGACAGAGTTCTTGGTTCAATGGGGCTTCCAACTAAACCTTGAATTGTATAGATGCTTCTCCATAGCTCTGTCTGTTTTATATTATTCATTTAGGACCAAAGATTGATGTGTATCAGAACTTTCTTCAGGGGGATGTGATAAACAACTAGAACCAACACTGAAGAAATTCAAAATAGGTGTTCTAAGACAGCTACAGGTGGGGCTTACACCACCTATATAAACCATCCATGTATAGTGTTATAGAGATCTATTAAAAGAACATAAGTTATTGGACTTCATAAAAATTTAATTTATACAAATGTGATGAAAATGAAACACAAGCCCAAAATGGTTTCTTCACTTGAACTTGCAAATGAAATAAATGTGATAAGATTGTTTCTCAAGTCATTAAAGATGGGCTGACTGTACTATAAATAAATGTCTATGAGTTTTTTAGTAAAGGTTTACCTGTCTGTACTATAAATAAATGTCTATGAGTTTTTTAGTAAAGGTTTACCTGTCTGTACTATAAATAAATGTCTGTTAGTTTGTTAGTAAAGGTTTAACTAATAAATTACTTTGCTTTGTTATGATATGGACTTTGCTGTCTTGGTAAATAATACAGTACTTTCATCAATGCAAGGTTTTCATATAGTTCACCACAATAGTCTCCTTCATGGTTACCTGCGCCATCTTGAAAGGTAGCTGTGCCTTTRCATCGAAGCGAGACAACCGTTGAGCGTGCAATAATAGATACCTGTGAATAATTGTCTGTAGGTGTTCCAGAAGGTTTCTATCATTGCTCACTCAACGGCTGTCTCGCTTCGATGCCAAGGCACAGCTACCTTTCAAGATGGCGYGTGTAACCGTGAAGGAGACTATTGAGAAAATAAGGCCCATTTCAAACACTATTGTTTTTGGCTGAAATGCAAAAGCATTTTTTGCATTGATGAGAAATTATGCCATRCAGAACAACTGTCACTCAAACTGACTAAATTCGTGCTAGTGGAGTCTCACTCTTATTCTCGTTTTTCATTATTACTAAGCGGGAATTATGAGACACTCTTTAGCACACTATTTTTAGATACAGTCTACACTATATGATTTGCTGTTCTTCCTGTAAGTAGTGTGTTATTGTGCTGAAACGTAAGAATGAAAAAATGACGGTGGCTGTGGTGAGATTGTGTTTGCTCAATTCACTGTTTTTTTATTTGACATTGATATTACCAAGAAAGATTATGTGAATATTCCGAGTGCTTTTTCTGTCATAGGAAGTGTGCTCTAATAAATAAAATGACATGACATGTGTGTCTGATAGTGGTGCAAGTGTAAGCATCATTTCACACATCAAAGTACTCTAGGCATTTATCATTGTTGTATTTTACAAACAAAAATAAAATTAAACTTACAAAATTGATATTCTGCTACAATGAAAGTGTACACACTTATTCCATGAAGAAGGTTTGGTACATAAATAGGCACTAGGCCATTTCCTTTTGTGTGATCAACACTTTTTAGTCTGTAGTAGTATAGAACTATAGTATTCAATGTGCTGCACTGGTAACTTAACAAGCAATACTTTTATAACATAATTTTACTCTTTGAATTATAATCCTTATTGTCAAAGGAATGGATAGTATTAACATTATTAATCATTAATTCTGATTTTTTTCAACAATTTTCAACGTTAATTGTTAAAATAGTCACTTAAAATAGTGTCACTGTAATATTATATAGTTATATTATCGTATTTTTTCTGTAAATTGCATCTATTAAACCTACAGTAGATTGAGAATTCCCAAGATACACCTCTAGGTAACAAATGAGATACTTCGAGGTAACGGTATTTCGCCTATAATTGCAATAATTTGGATATTTTTTGAAAATATTCATACATCTCTGACCCATAAAAGATTATGGGGGTGCAGCTCTATCTCAGAGACAAAGCCATCATTCAAGAAAGCATAGTTATTATTATTATTTTGTGACTTGGATKAAGCTGATCCCACAAACAAAGGTTCTATTTTATAAACTAAATACAAAATGGTGGACATATCTAATAACAACTATGTTCTGATGGSTAGTCTTTCCTTCATGCGGCATTACAAAAGTGTTTTACATGGATGAGTACCTACAATATTTGATAATTTTTTGAAATCGGTTCAATTCACTAATATTTGATTCAGTCAATGTTTTTCTTTGGTSCTTTGGTGCTTAGGTTTAACAGAGATATCTGACATATTATAATCATTCATCTTCTAGAGGTGCAAGGAAGTTAGAAGCAACATAACCCTTCTTCCCTTCAGCCTCCACTAACCACCATTCATCATTTCCTTGCTTGTCATGAAATTGTAGAACTGTAACAACTTGACCTTCATCCAAGCTTAGTTCTACAGGGCTCGTGCCTTCAAATTCAAATTGTGCATAATATGAAGTAGTTTTCTTTGATTCAGTTTCTTGATTTTCTGYTTCATCATTATCGCTATCATCCTGTTCTTCAAATTCAGTATACTTCTCTAGAAATGAGCATGGTACATAACCTGACGTCCCAGAGTACGTGACCAGCCACCACTCTCTATTACCACTGGTATCACACTGCCGCTGAACAGTTACCATATCTCCCTCRTTYAGTGTAATCTCCCCTGGATTTTGAGCTTCAAAGGTGGATATAGCAATGTAAGGTTCGTAGTTATTTGCAGTGATCTCCACTGAGCTTTGACGGAGCTATGAAAGATAAAAACAGAAATTCACCTTTGTTAAAGTAGACATAACTGACGGACATTGTACCAATAGTCAAGCCGTGACAGACAGACGATGTACTTACTATAGGAGATGTAATAGTGTGTCTTCTTGGAGTCGGTTTGGGTGGTTCCTGGGTACCTGATGTGCTAGTGGCACCTGTCCGGGGTGGGGGTTGAGGTGCCATTCTTTTCCTGGACAGACTTCCACCTCTACTATAKGGCTTTTTCAGGCCAGACACRACATCACCAGTTGATGCCTGGAACAAAAAGAAAACATAAATGAGCAAAGAGTATGGTGTTTAAGATAATTTATTACACTATAATAGTCGTAATGTCATAATGATTGTCATAATGCAGCACTGATAGTTTACATACTGGGAGAGATGGGATCAAAGGTTGTTTTCTGGCTTCCCTTCTCTTCTTCAAAAGTTCTTTCCCAAGGAATTGAGCAGGGATGAAACTCAGGTCAGCCATTTGCTCCATGACCTGTTGTGTCTTCCTGGTTTGTTGTTCTATAATGTCACCTTCATCTTTTACCATTGATAACTAATCAAAGATNNGATCTCAGCAGCCACTTCATTCATAACAGTCATGGCTTTGATTAGATTTTGTTTATCTTTATGAATCTCTGGAGTGCACTGTCCATATAAAAATAAAATAAAAAGACATTCAATGTTATAATGATTAGATAAAATGATTGGATTTTAACCCTGACTTGTCCCAAGTCATCTCTGTATTATATTTCTCTAGCATGAGAAAAGATACAAGATGGTATTTCTTTCTATTTACCTTCTTTTCCTTGATGCTTTGATAGAGGAGATGACTAGGAATGAGTTCCAGCCATTACGTTACACTTACCTTCAAGAGTTCTCCAAGAAGTAAAGGATACTTTAAAACTCTTTGAACAGGTTTGATAAGAAATGAGGATAAATCCCAACACTTTGTRCTGTCTCTGTAGAACAGCAAAAATAGGGAGATAAATGGGAAATAAATGAAAAAAAGAAAAAAGAGTTGAGAGGGAGGTACAAACGAAATGTTTCGAGTTCCAAGGTTTTCTTCAGGAAGGGATGCAAGTCACTCAAGGAGAATGTGCTCTCTATCAAAATGGCCTCAAGATACACACAGATTGAAGTAAAGTAGAAGAACACTACATTTTAGATGGGTGTGTAATTTACATCTCTGGATTTGCCATTACTTGTTCACCTTATAGCGGTCAGGCATTTATTGAAGACTTCATGAGCTTCTGGTACGTCTTCATACTGTAAAAGATTATATTAGGCATCAAGGTGATTCTCTCGGCGCATTGCTTTCCTGCATGTACGAGGAATATAAGAAGTGCCATGCAGAGGAGGCTACAACTGTGTATTACTATACCATCAAAATTAATAAGTATGAATTCTTAATGGAAGTATGATTTTTGGTAATGAAAGAAATTTTGGGCTGCCAGAGAATTAAATACATAAATGAAATAGTGGTAGAATGAAATGAAAGCAATCAGTAGAATGGGAAATAAAGAAGTGACTAAATGAGAAAAGTAAACTAAAAAGAAATGAATACCTTTTCTAATAATCCAATAGCATCATCATGGTTTCTGCAGTATTGTCCATATACATCTTTGATTTCATCTGCCATATCTACAAAACACTTGCCTATGACACCAAAATAAAAGGACAATTAGCAAATTACACCACAAAATGGACCTTGAAGTGTTGTTTGATGCTTTAGGCAATCACTGATTCCATAATTCATTTGCTAGTTCAAATGCTCAGTCATCCATTCAAACACCTACTAGTCTTCCAGTCTGCCCCAAGGGATGTCTCCATTCCTTTCCACTCTCCTTGGGCTTCCTGTCTTCCTCCTACTACCATTTAAAAGAGACTACTACATCCAAACATCCATTCACCTGATTTATTCATTTAGTTGTAAACTTATTTTATTCCTTTGCTACTTACAAATGTTTCTAGAAGTTCATTATTAATTCTCTTCAGAGTAGACTGATATAGTGTGACTTCAGTGCAAGTGGCAGCATCCTGGTAGAAACTTTGTAGGTTATCACCATTCACACACTGTAGGGTCCTTGTTTCCTGCATGAATGAAACATTATTGATATTGATGTTGAGAATTTCGTCATACACAGGCATATTATTATTAATACTTGTTGATTCTCAAGATCAACAAATAAGATCAACATAATATCAAATAGGGACACTGGAAGAACTCTGCCCGATAGCTACATCCAATCACTTAAAACCATTTAATTTGTCACATTTGCCCTATAATATTTTTATACTGTCTTTCATTTGTAAAGAGCGYGCACGTATTGTACAGTTTCCTCGAGCGCTTTCAGTTAACTATGTTGATTAGATCATCATGTGTACTACAACCTTGAAAATGGCTGCTTAAGCCGTAAGCTCGGTTAAAAAATAAATCAATTTTGCACAGAAGAATCAACAAGTATTAATAATTATTTTTGATATCTTTTATCCATGATTTTCTTTCCCCTGAACCTATTTCATTAGATAGAACACAGAGGCAGMACAATCTAGTTTAATGCTAGTCTTCCTAAGCTTTGATCATTCATCTTCTAGAGGTGCAAGGAAGTTAGAAGCAACATAACCCTTCTTCCCTTCAGCCTCCACTAACCACCACTCATCATTGCCTTGCTTGTCATGAAATTGTAGAACTGTAACAACTTGACCTTCATCCAAGCTTAGTTCTACAGGGCTCGTGCCTTCAAATTCAAATTGTGCATAATATGAAGTAGTTTTCTTTGATTCAGTTTCTTGATTTTCTGTTTCATCATTATCGCTATCATCCTGTTCTTCAAATTCAGTAT